GCAGGGCGGACGGGCGCGGGAGAGGATGGGGGTCCCGGAGCTGTTGGTCGGAACCAGGCCCCGCTCCCGCAGCCGGTAACGCAGGCGGGAATCAGTCGTTCGCGGTCATCCCTGGGAGAGGGGAATCCTCCGTCCGGACTGCGCCAGCAAAGTGGGGTTATTCACGTGATTCTCTCCCGTTTCCCCGTGCCAAATTCCCTTCGCTTTGGGGACAGATGACCGAGGTCCTGTGTAACCTCCGCCAAGGTGTCCCTCCCCACACGCGGGCTTCTGCTAGCTCACTCCTCTCTGACCTGGTGGTGTGACTCTCACGGTGTCATAATCAAGAGGTTATTTGTCTAAACAGCAGTAAAAAAAAAAAAAAGTACCATTTTATTTAACAGTGAACACGGCTTGAATTCGTATTCAGCTGCTGTTTATCACTTAAAACCTGAGGAGGAACATATATTTGAGTGTTTTATCTGTGACCTCTACAAACAGCAACTTCTTTGGTATGCAGAATAATTTTTGTTGATGACTCTTTTCTGAATTACCGGTTGTGCATTGTTGAATTGTGCTCTATGGCGTCTAGTCAGTCCGCAGGGAATTCTCTTGCTCAATACCTGGACTTTGCATTGTTGCCAGTCCCTGAAGGGATCTGAAGGTGGCATAGGATGGTTCCTGGTGTCTTCATGGGCTGTGTTCTTCTTTAGGTTTCAGAGGAGCGTGCTGGATCTCTCTTTACAGTGGAGATTTGCCAGACTGCCCAACAATGCCAAGCTGGAGATGGTGCCAGTCTCTAACAGAGTGGGAATTGGAAACACGGTACGTTCATTGCACAAATGTCACCCGATTTGTTTAGTTGTGAGTTATGCTGGATGTGATCTCGTCACATCTAATGAGCAAGGGTATGATCAGGCTCGGCCAATGCTTGAGTGGAAGACCACCCAAAGACCAGTTGAGGTGTGGTGGAAAATGGTAATTCAACAGCTGGAAGTCTTTGCATGCAGTCTCTATGATGGTGGAGTTCCAGCTGTGTGCTGGAGGACAGGGAGATCTTTTGGGGAGCTGAAAAACCAGTAGTCATGAACGTATAAGAAGTTAAATATCACTGATGACTTTGTTTAGCAGTCAAGCTACTAACTTGGTTCCTTTTCCTAATTTCTATTTCAGTTGCTGTTGTCTGCCTCTGGATTTTGACTAAAATCTCAAATTTTTACAGGATTCTCTTTTGCTTCTTTCCCAGCATTGCTGTTCACAGTGTGTTCACACAGCTTTAGAATTTTTTGTGACGTGTGATGTGTTTAGCCGTTGCCGAATGTCCCTATTTAGTATAATTTGCAAAGGACTTATGGATGCCGTGTTCTTATTGAATTTTTGTCACATTTAGGAGATTTAAGAATCTTTTATGCATGTCATTATAACAGCTGGAAGCATCATTTTTAAAACAATGCATAAGTGTTAACGAGTGTAAACATTCTACGTGCTAAAAATGATGTGTGATGTTATTTAAGTAGCCTGGGAATGAAAATTTGTCTATCACAAACAGTTATATCTCTTTTTACTGACTTTCGCATATGGAGTTTCTCAATTTTTGTGAAAGTTTCAGGTCTATTAATACTAATCTCTCTATGTCTGTCTGCCAAATTGCATTAGTGGCATTTTGTTATAGGCAGTTGCCTTAGCTGTCACAAAGATAAACTGGTGCATACATTGAAAAGTGAACTTTGTAGTGTGAGAAGGTTTTGGAATCTCTGCTCTGGCTCACTGTGGGTGTGCAATGTAGTTTTGAGGGTCACTGAAGTCCATGTTTTCCTCCTGTGTTTTGGCATGAATGTTTTCTTTCTGACTTGTGGTAGAAAGAAGTTTGTGCTCCAAATGACCTATATAGTTAAAAAAAATACCACAAGCTGGTAGCATCTGCTTAAAATTTTCAGTTAAAAAAATTGATGGCATGGAGTTCATCTTCTAGTGGAAAGTGTTTCTATTAAAATGGTACAGTGATGACTTTATCTGACATTTGCATCCAGTTTGGGAGGTATTGTACCAAAGGAAAACAGTGATTTTTTAATTTTTTTTTTTTCCAAGAAGATATATGCAGCATATCAGAAAGGGTGAGAAGGACTGTGTACTGTAGGAGAGGGGTTATAACACGGAATCGTTACTTTAGATCACAAAAGAGAAGAGCTAATGAAAGTTCAAGTTGTTACGGTTTAGTTGTATTTAAACAGAAGAATCTAGAGAAGTGAGGCTTCCCTTGGAGTGCTCGTTGCTGTTTTATGGAGTTGAGAAGATAGAGCAAATATGCTGTGAATGGTGCAGTCTAAACAGAGTTGCTGTCCCATAAACTAAGAACAGAGATTTCATTTGAAAAATTTTACAGGCAGTATAAGAAAATACTTTGTACAAAACACAATTGACCAAAAGAATTCCCCGCCGCAGGGAACTCGTGTCAAATACTGTAGGAAGTTTAAAACAGCTGGGTAACTCTGTGACCAGAACTGACACTAGCGTTATGCCCTAATATAGTGGCAATTGAGATGTGGACTCAGTCATGCAGGCTGACTGCAGTAATGCCGGGATGAATTTGCCTCTGTGCCTTTTGTTACTGTCTCTTTCATTGAGATAATGCTCATGGAAGTAGGTGTGCTTTGCTGTGGTGCGTTGGCAGCAGTTACCCCTAGAGAGAGAATACAGGTTTTGATATATCACGAGTTTGTTCAGCAAATCTGATCTTTTTAAAACAGAGTGCTTTTCGATTTGCCTTTGCAGGTAGAAGCCATTGATTCCTATAAGACGGCTCTTTAGAGAAAAATTGAACAAATTCCCCTTGTGATGACAGGTGATCTCGGGGTACCATCAGTACGGTTCTAGTGTGAAAGTTGTTAGCCTTTTGTTTGTATGTTAGTAAACTTAGAAGATAATTGGCACTGGTCTCTCTATTATTCTATATAGAGCCTGGAAATTTTTAAAAGATTTTTTTTTTTTATTGACTGAATATGGCTTTCGTGACATGCTTAGCTTTGAACTGTTGCCCAAAAACTGATGCAACTGGTAGTCTGAATTTCTGGGCTGGATTCTTATAGAATGGTGATGTCAGCTGTCATCGCTCTGCTGTAGCTGAGAATAATCTCAGGCTTGTCTCCAGCATAGGAGGAACCAGGAGATTGTGTTAGTGGTGGGATGAAACGACTTAGTTCTGTTGGCTGGTTGTTGATGATGCCACTGTTTCCTTTATGTAGAAAAATTCCTCTCCAGCAGATCACAATTTGCAGTCCTGCAAGGACTGGTAGGAGCCAAGGCAGATGACAAACGTATTCCTCCAGGGAAATCACAGTAGATTGCTGGAGCGTGTGGTGTCTATTTTTTCCCATCTCTCTCTCCCCCCGTCATGCTCGCAGACATGCACAGACGTGGTCTCACAGAGGGAGAAAGGATGCACTGACATTGTTGGTAGGGACACGTGAAAACAGAATGAAAGAAAGCTTCTGTTGATGTCCTAGGCTCCTGTCCTCAAACTTTTGAACAAGGCCAGTTTCTGTGGACTTCAGAAAACCATAGTTGACTAGAGGGACTATGGACTTTTTTTTTTTTTTTCCACTTTTCTTTAGATGGGTGAGCTGATTGGGAAAACTTAGGGTTATGTATTTGGAAAAAGCAAGCTGAATATTCTCTGAAAGGCAAAGATAACACCTGAAGTGCTTTGCCATTCTCCATCTCTTTGTCAGCCGCTGGATTTTTCCCTTGGGACCATCAGGAGTTTATAGGATCATAGAATAGTGTGGGTTGGAAGGGGCATTTAAAGGTCATCTAGTCCAACCCCTGAAGTTGAGTCTGAAGTTCTTCAGGACTGTCAGCAGTGTATTCATTTTAGAAATGCCTTGGATTTTTTTGTTTGGTTGGTTTTGGTAGCAGTTCTCTGGAGAATATGTAGGATCTGCGTGAGCACCTGCTAATGAATGTGAATGTTCACATCCCATGTTGGAAAAGTCCTGTTGGGATAGACAGCTACCTCTCCTTTGCCTTTTTCTGCAGGTGTTTAAGAACTTGATAACTTGAGACTTTTGATTAATTTACTCTTAAATTGTATGTCAAAATGTTGTGGTTAGGAAGCATTAGTGAGTTGCAAGTTATACACGTAGTCCCTTTGGACTGATAATAGTTGGTTAGGTCTTCAGTAACTCAAGGATAGATTTGGACCATATTCATTGTTTGTCTTTGTGGATGTGGAAGTATACTGTTTGTTCTGCCTCAGGGAAGTTGTTCTCCAAATCGATGGTTAGGTCGACAGAGCTCCGGATTGGTGTTTTAGTTTATGCAGCTGCATCAACCCTCCCTGGGTTATTGGAATTCATTTTATATAGCTGTGAAGACCCTTGTTGTAAAGTTTCAGCTAGTGTAAAACAGAACATCTCAGTTGCTCGTGATGCCACATTATTTGGCATGCTTTCATTGGCCTTTGTCTGAGTATTTTTTGGTTCAGGATATGGCAGGGAAGACGGGCCCAAGAAGGTTGGTTAATATTGAAGGATTGCCTCCTCCACGCTCAAGAACGGTCCATTCCAACGAGTAGGAAGTCAGGCAAAAATACCAGGATGCCTGCATGGATGAACAAGGAGCTCCTGGCCAAACTCAAACACAAAAAGGATGCATACAGAGAGGGAAAGCAAGGGTAGGTACGCTGGGAAGAACAGAGACCTTGTCCGGGCAGCCAGGGATGAAGGTAGGAAAGCTTAAGCCTAACTGGAATTGATTCTGGCTGGAGACATCAAAGACAACAAGAAGGGCTTCTTTAAGTACATAGGTGACAAAAGGAAGGCTAGGGAAAATGCGGGCCCATTGCTCAACAAGGTAGGGGACTTGGTTACACACGACATGGAAAATGCTGAAAGCTTTCTTTGCCGCAGTCTTTCCCAGCAAAACCAGCCTTCAGGAATCCCAAGTCCCAGTGATCAGGGGGGAAGGCTGGAGCAAGGAAAATGTACCCTTGGTGGAAGAGGATCAGGTCAGGGAATACTTGAGCAAACTGAACATATGTAAGTCTATGGATCCTGATGGGATGCACCCATGAGTGATGAGGGAGCTGGCAGATGTCACTGCAGGGCCACTTTTGATAGTCTTTGCTTGATCATGGCTATTGGGAGAAGTACCTGAAGACTGGAGAAAAGCAAATGTCACTCCTATCTTCAAGAAGGGCAAGAAGGAGGACACAGGAAACTACACGTGGGTCAGCCTCACCTTGATCCCTGGGAAGGCAGTGGAGCAGCTAATCCTGGAAACCATTTCCAGGCACGTGAATGACAGGAAAATCATCAGGAGTAGATAGCATGGATTCAACAAGGGGAAGTCAGACTTGACAAACTTGACTACCTTCTATGATAAAATGACTGGCCTGGTACATGAGAGGAGACCAGTGGATATCATCTACCTGGACTTCAGTAAGGCCTCTGACACTGTCTCTCATAAGGTCCTGATATATAATACTCATATTCATAGCAGAACAGAACTACTCTAAATATTAACTTCTAAAATAACCGTTTGAGTACTCCACTGCACTTTAAACTAATGTAATCCTTTGCAGGAAGTGTTTAGAAGGAAGTAATGTTTTTTTGGATAGCAGGTTCTAGACATCATTGAAATATTGAAAAAAGTTGTTGTGAAGGGAAAAAATTTTAATTCAATTTTCAGATTAATTCAGTGTATTTTTCCTATAGGTTCGGATCGCATTACAATTAGATGATGGCTCCCGTTTACAAGACACCTTTCTCTGTCACCAGACTTTGTGGGAACTTCTCAGCCATTTTGCAAAGATCAGGTGAGCAATGCAGTGAGAAAATACTTGTTTGGATGTATCTCTGCAGGACACTAGTTAGTTGCTGTTACGGTGTTCCTGCTAAATTCTGCAGATTTGTAGAATTAGCATTTGTTTGATGGTGGTTTTTCCTTTACAGCACAGGCATTTGCATTTGCATTGCTTTTTCAGATTTGACACTCCACAGTTTCAGTGTGTTTTTTTAATGCTGAAGTAGCACTTCTGGTTCAAGGCATAAACTAGTAACAAACTGCTAAGACTGGGAAGAACCTGTAAGTGGATATATTGCCACACCTGTCTTCTACACAAACCTGTTTGAAGTCAAGTTACTGCCAGAGTTGAGATGGTAGCCTAGATTATCTTGATCACCAGTATTTCTGTGCTGCGCTTCCATGTGGTGGAGGGTTTTTTTTCTTAAATGAATTGCTATTGCTTTTGAGGCTTGCTGTTGTGCAAGTTCTTCAAGGAAATCTGGAGCTCTCCGCAGGCTAATGTGGAATCTTCAAAAGACTATTTAGATCCTGTTTAAATGGAAGAATTTCTGGTCGTCCGTTTATTGAATATATACGTGGGTTAGAAATCTTATTAGAGTCCAGTCTACGTTCAGTGCTTTCTTTTGTCTTTAGTTTTGACTTAAAAATACTGTATTGTTTTGAAATGTCAAGCTAATAAACTTTTCTCTAAAGACAGTTCTTTTAATTTTGTCATGGCTTGGAAGATGAAGCCTTGAAGCTGACACAGCCATTTTATTCTGAAGGGAATTTCCAAATTTCATTTTTTTTCTGTTGTAGTTGGCTTTACCTTTTTCTCGATAGTTTTTGTGGGTGTTTTCTTTTTTTTTTTCCCCCCCAGATCCTGCAGTTCTAGCTTGTTCTTTCTCTTACATTCCTTATCTGCTCACCTTGCTCATCTGTACAGGTGCTTTGTTATGGTATTGTGCAACTTGATTGTATTTTTGTTACTTCTCAAACCAATTAAATACTCATCTAAAGAGACAGTAGTAAGGGTGATGGTGCAGTAGCATTCAGATTAGATCAACCTTTTAGGGTACAGTTACAGGATGCAAAATGATGGATTGTCGAGCCGTAGTAATTGACTGGTTACAGGTATGTGTTAGTACTAGACTAACATGTAGTAGCATAAATCACTTTAACTGAAGTTTAAAGTTGTGTTCTACACTGCAATTGAAATAGCCAGGGAAGCGTGGTTCTGGGGTTGAACTGGCTGATGTTCCCTCATTAAGTCAGGGTTGCATAGTTGAATTGTGTGACTGGAGTTGCTCTGGAGCTGTTTCCAGGGTAAGGAACTAATTCTTCTGGCCTCCCAATGATGTGCTGTTAATTTTCTGCTAGCTTAGCCCCCTGACTGGCCCATAACATAGATCAAAGGAGTGACTAGTGCTGGCCCAAGGGAGGGAGTTTGGATCGGGGGCATCTTCTGTGTAGCAGTAGGGGATTGAACAGTTACTGCTTGCTTCCTGCCCTCCTGTCTAGCTCCCCTCATACTGTTTGTGCAGCTTTATAGAGAATTAGCTTAAGTAGCTGATTCAGCTGAAAAATAGTATTTTCCCCACGTTATCTTTCAGATAGGTGAGTTTCCTGAGCCAGTTAAGGGTTGTCTCTCATAGGCAGTTACGACAAGAAGTGTAGCATGTCTGGAAACAAGGATCCAAAAGGAGGATGCAGCAGATGGATGGGAATGGTGTATGTTAGTTTTTCTACTCAACTTCTTGTATCATCAAACCATAAATTGAGAAAATGCTTGAGGTAGTCTAGTGACTCTAAAGTAATATAAACGAGTCTTACTTATCGTTCTCTTTTTGTCTTTAACATTAAGGGACCAGGTGTGCGCTGTGGCACTTACCCTTAAGTCAAAAGGGACAGTCTTTATGTAAATGCTAGAAAGAAAAGAATTATTTTCTTTTGGTTGAGGAAAGAGGTAGGCAAGAAAAGCCAGGTATCATTTTCCTGGGTGTTTTAAGGCCACTTTTGTACTTTACTACATACTTTGTGACCTCTGGGAGGAGAAGAGTGCCTGTTGCAGTTTGGGAACTGGTAGACTGGTGGGGGTGGTAATTATGGACAGTATCAAATAGCCTTTGTGTCACTTTCTTGCACATTAGTTTGTTATTTCTTTGGTTTAAATTTTGAGCTTTTTGTATAGTTTTGCTCCTTTGGAGTGGTTTTATTTGTTACAGGTTATTGTAGTACTAATAGTTAATGTACATGCTGCTCTTTTTTGAGATTCTAACTGCTACAGTGAGCTAAGCATTGTTAACTTCAGTTCATAAGACACAGCTGTTCTCTTCTGCCCTCTGGAAGCTGCGCTCAGATGGTTGGATGGACTTTGCAAAGTTTTGAAAAAGTTCAACAAGCAGCAAAGATGCTGTGTGTGACTCAAATCACAAAACAAGCTGGATCTATAGCCATCCATGTAGAGTTCATGGGCTGTGCGACTTTTCATTGTGTATGGACTCGGTTGACTAACTAGTCAGCTAGTTGTTGACTTTTGCTGAATACTTCCTTTGACTTTCCAACTGGAGATGTTTTCCTGGAATGCTCAGCTGCTCTAAGTGCGTGAGGGGAAGTATTCTAAATCCACTGGAATTTCCCCTGGGTTTCCAGCGTCCATCTTGGCTAATTGGGTCTGAAGAAGGTCTGGAAGCTATTGTAAGGCTGCTCCTCCTCTCAGCGTGCGGCAGTCCTTGCACAAGATGTTTACAGGCCCTGTCAGATCACTACATGAAGGAATCTAATCTGCTTGCCGTTTCCCTTCTGAAGAACAGCACATCAAAGAAATGACAGTGTGTTTGATGTGTGTGCTTGCCTCAGTGAATGCATGTAATGGATTAACAGCAGCTGGAGGAGGAGCCTGTTGGCTTCCAAGAGTTATACAAAAATAAGTCTCTGGGGGAATCTTTCCTTGGAGTCTGTTCTGCAGAGACTGGTTGAGGGCACAAGCTTTGTATACCCTTTTAGCATTAGGCCTGGGAGAACTGTTGCTTTTCTGTTTCCCACTCTTGCCTGTCTGGCAGCTTCAGCAGCTTTGTAGACTGTTTTACATAGAAGTGATTGCAGTCTGGACAACTGAAGACAGTTTTGACAGTGACTATTACTCTTTGCTGCTTTTGTGGTATCACTCATTAAGTTCAGATATTTTCCATATATTTTTAGAAGGCTCTTCAATCCAAAGAGTGGCTTGGGTTGAAGTGGAAAGCAGTTTTGGAAGGGTGAACAAAACTTGTGTAAGTCAAATTGGTTTACTCTCTTACGGATCTGTGTGGTGAGGATGTGTCTTCCATGGTGCCTCGGCTTCTCTCCTCCTAAGTTGTGATCATCCACCTTTCCTGATAGACAGGCAACTTGAGGTTTGAGCTTTGATTCCTCTTGGCTGTTTTGTCTGCCTTTTCTGTGATTCTGTACTGTTTCCTCTGTGTCTCAGCAGTCCTTTATCTTTTGTGCACTTTTATCGAGGATTCATGTAGGGATACAGCTGATGCTGATTGGAAGTAAAATCCATTGAAAATAAGGTAGGGATGACTAGCTCTCCTGGATTGTCTGGAAAAGTCTCAGTGCACGTAGCCTGCTCTGGTGTGCTAAAAGTAGTCTCTTAGGTGCTATTTTTTTCCAGTCTTCCAGTCAAGAGATGAGATTTTTCCTGCCTTTCCTCGTCAAGTGTTGGCCTTTGGAACGTAATTGGTTATTCTGTGAAAGAATACTGCTGTGAAAGGAGTGAGGGAGGTTGGAGCCTGGGTCTTGAAACACAAGATTGTGCTCATTCTGTATGAGGAACTTAAGCTGTTGATTCCTGTGGAGCATTATATATGGCTTTCAGTCCTGGACAGAGAATAACTAATTGTAGAACTGCAAATGGTGGCACACTTACTCTAGTGTTGTTTTGGTTGTTCATCCTGAGTTAGAAAGCTAACGGTGTTTCATCATCTGAAGCTTGAATGTAATGGTTTGGATGCTCTGGGTGCGTCTGTCGCTTTCTGCACAATGGGATTTGGTGTGGTGGCTGGGAGAAGTATTCTGAAAGAATGGTACCTCAGGACTATAAACCCCTTGTGATCTGTTGCAGCAGGTCTGGAAGTAGTTCTCAGCCCCTGACTTCCCTAAACCAGACCCGACCCTCGGGACTGGTTTTACAGGTAGCTCTGTTTGGATCTGCCAGCTCCGTTGAGTGGACTTCTCAGTTTCATTGTGACTCACCTTGTTCTACATCACCATGCTGTTGCATACTTTATTTAGAAAGGCTTATGTTTTAATCTTTAGATCAAGACAGGAGATAGACTGCAACAATTAAACCAAAAAGAAGTCTCAGTTCTGGTCTGTGCTTAGCAGGTTTGCTCCCCCACATCCTCCAGCTGGAACTCTTTGACATGCTCTTGCTCTTGAGGATTGCTCAAGGATTGAGTATCAGAATTTTCCCAGTGGCGCTCTCCATCCTGACTGACTTTTTCTTCCAGCTGTTTCACTTACACTTCATTGAACCTGAGTTTTGATTCTAAATGTAAATGTCCTTGCTGAATTTTCCCAGAACTTAATGGCTATTTCCCTTCATTTTCTGCTCTGTAGGCCGATTGACTCCTTCCCCATTCAGCTTGTTTTGTCACTTTGTGCTGGGCTAAATAGATTTATGTTAAAATATTATGTAAACCATTGATTGTATATATATTCTTCTAAGCTGCTCATTTGTGACATATTTTGGACGTAATAGAAAGGCTGCATAAGATAATATTGGCAAAGCTATTGTTGTTAAGTAACTTTGAACATGATGATGGTACTTAAGATTATTGGAACCGCTGCACTGAAAGTAGTAAGACGCATGCGGACTCTTGTCTTCTGCTGTGCAGGGAGATTGCTAAAGTGCTAAGGGTTATTTTCTTTCCTTCTTACCTGAACAGAAAACGTTTTCCCTGTCTTAAGGTGGTCTTTCCATAATGGCTGAGCTTATTGCATGCCTATTTGTGGACTTACCAGCTGTAAAGTAGAGGCCTTTCTAACAGCGGTAGTCAGTGTGGCCACAGCACAGATGTACTGTGTGGTCACTTCAGAGTTAGACACTTGGTTGACTGAATGGATTTTGACTCTTGCTTCAGGGATCCTTTTCCCACATAAACACTTCAGATAACTATGTGTATGGTAATATTGCATCCCAAAACACTTATGTTTAAATTACACGATGCCAAAGGCAGAATGTTTTAAGTAGTGGAACTCCGTTCATTAAACTCCTCTCCAGGAGAAGTCAGAATGAACCCAGCCTTGATCACTGACATCCTTTTTTTTATAGTCATTCTGTGTTCCATTCCCCAGTTACGATGCTCACAAATTAAAAGCACAAGATAGAGAATGAGTCCCTGAAGGTACAAGTGATAGGTGTAAGTGATGCACTAGATATAAGCAGTCTGAGTTCCTGCTTAAATTTTGTTTCACTTGGACAACAAGTTGATGAATATTTAGAAGAATGTGTGGCTGTGACTGCTACTGCAGAATTACAAACAACGCAGAGAAATGACTGAAGTAGAAATATCTTTCCATAACTTCTAATTTCCAGTGAAAAATACTGGATTTTTTTTTTTTTTCAGGCTGCCAGGGTCCTGCAGGTTTTGTTTTTTTCCTGTGAAGTTCATTGCAGAGACTAGAATCCGGTGACAAAGGGGCAGTTGAGTGTGAGTGTTCACATGACCCTGTAAGTCAGTTATTTGCAAAGCTCCTCATGAGTTCAGTAGTCAACACTGGCGTAATAGGGCATAAAATCACAAGTTGACTTCAGGGACTCGCTTCAGCCTCCTTTGTCAGGGGCCTCAGGAGATGAGCAAGAGTGTGTTGCCTTACTGGGCTGTCAGGTGGATTTCATTAGCTGATTTGTGGAGAGGTGGTTTCTTTTCAAGTCACCCCAGATGGTGGGTGATTGTTTCCTGGTGGGGTGAGGCATAGGGGAAAGCCCCCCCACCCCCCAAGACTGGACTCCAGAGAGCACTAAGATCAAGGGAGTTTACCATGAGGAAGAATTTCAGTTGTTTTGCTTTTGACAATAAAACAACTGTTGCAGTGCAGATGGTACATCCCAACTCCTTACCGAGGGATGCCCTGGTGCAACTGAAATGAGGCAGCTCAGGACAGAATGTGGTAACAAGAGCTACTGGAGTGTTACGGAGAAGGATAAATCTTGTCAGTTCTCATTGTGTCGATGGGGACTATCCTGGGGCAACTGTCTCACCTTTTGTTTTGTAGTTTCCCCTGCTAAGTTAGGTTGAAACTTTTGAATCTAAGACTTTTGAAAAAAAAGTGAAATTGTGAGAATTCAGCCAGGTATCTTTCTGAGCCAGCACTGTCTCAGCGTGGACAGTGTTCTCCTGGTCATCTTTTGCCATTGATGTGCTTGGGGAGGAGAAGCAAACCATTCTTCTCCTTAATTTCATGTTTTACCACATTCTCAGCTGATTTCAGTTTGAGCTTCACTTTGGCTGCTGAAGGCGAGACCAACATGAAAGAGAGTTTCTTCTGCTATTGAATCTAATTCTCTCACTGATTTCAGTACTTCAGTGAAATGTAGTGGTTAATTCTTCTTATTTTTCTAAAGACATCTGAGCTTTCCTTACTAAAAGTGTTAGTCCTTGTTTGTTTGATTGTTTGTTTGTTTTTCCATTAAGAGCACCCTGTTGTAGGGTTTTGCACATGTGCTGTCTTTTGAAATGGTATGGTCTTGGATGGATAACTGAAACTTTCTGTGACAGGCAGTGATTGTCTTTTCCCTGTCCATCTTCCGTGTTTGATCGAGTGAATATGTAATAGTTTCTCTTCTACTTGAATGCCTCAGAACTGCTTATCTAGAGCAAAATGGGAAGAGTAGCATCTTTTCAAGAGTAGCATCTTACTGTTTTTTTTTCCCCTTCTCTATGCTAAGAGTCCGTCACTTATGTCTTCCTCTGCAGATAGCCTGTCAGCAGTTGGCATCATTGCTAATACGTGTCCTGCGTCACTGAAATGCTTAAATGTGGCTTGATCTTCACTTTGAATGCTGCAGCAACCTTTCCTTTGGCTTTGTTTTGTCTCTGGTCTCCAGAATGCAAAAGCTTCTGCTGTTTCGTTTTCTTTTTCTCTCATTTCGTTTTTAATCTGTCTGATACTAAGATGGGCAAATTCTTTGTCCTTGGATTATTTGCTTTAGAGCAGTATTTCATTCGGTTTGTTGCTATGCATACATGGAATGAAACTGACCTGTCCCCAAGGAAAGTACAGTCTAAACTGTAATAAACTGTTTAACTTAGATAAGGGATTAAAAAGAGCAAGTATTATTAAGTCATGTTCCAGATCAGGTACCGAAGGACATGAAGAATGTGCTCAATGTGCTCAAATTTATGTAGTAAGATCGACTAATTTCAGAATTAACTATAATTACATCTTCTTTATTTTTAAACTCTCAGGGCTGTGTTTAAGGAACAGTGAATGTATTGCAGCAAATCCTTTACCTAATGTCTAATACTGACTCTGTGAACTGTGTAATGGTTGTTGCTGGAGGAACATGGAGGAGAGTGTTGCCAGCTAATTTCACTTCTTATTATAGCTCTACATTGGTTTTGGAGTGGGTAGACTGTTCTACTGATGCTGCAGTATTTTGCTTTTTATTGCAGGGAGTTTATGGAACAGCACGGTGAATTCTCTCCAATCTGTATTTACATGCGAGATGAGGTAGGTCAGCGAAGTCTTCTTAACTGTCTCTTGTCCTTCTGTCCCTAAAAACTAAGAAAAACTCAGCTCTGCTTTCCAACCTGGAAAGTGCTTCTTTTGAACTTTCTTGAGAGGGGAAGTAGAAAAATGTTGGTCTTTTCAAAGCATGACGTGTCTGTATGGAAAAAAGCTCTCTTGGAACGTAACCCTGGGCCGTTTAGACCTCTGAGCCCATAAAATGAGCTCAATGACCTGTTTGTGTTTCTCTTTCCAGCTTCTTTTAAAGCTTGAGTCAAAACAGTGGTTTCATTTTAATAAATATTTGCTTTTCTCTGTGTTTTGATCTTTTGCTATTAATGTTTTGTTTAATATTTTGTATGTGCGTATTACGGAATTTGCTCTCCCTAGCTGTCCCCTTCACTTCCCACTGACCTCTGTGGACACAGATCATCTTTATTCTGGAACAGGTCATTACAAGCAGATGGGAGGTGTATGTAATGAAATCGTCTGTCTTTCAGCTCTGCGATGTTGCCTGTGATATAATCTGACATAAAAATAATGCTTTTCTGAGGTTGGATCCAATTTGGATGGATGTATGGGATGGGAGTATATGTAGGTTATCTTCCCTTGAGATCATTTAGTAAGCAGTAAGTCTGGTAAAGCAGTACAGGTGAATATGGATAGATTCAAATCTCATTTTCAACTGCAGAAAGAGGGTGTTTTGAGATGGTTCTGGTGCTGTGTGGTTGGTTGTTTTGATACAGGCTTCTTTCTAGAAAGAGTACTTTAAATGCTCTCCCAGGTAGGCAGTTGCCACAGTTATTTTCCTCTGTTTTTGTTGCAGATAGCAGGAAAAGATGCCTTAAAGAAGACAACACTGAAGTCACTTGGCCTGACTGGAGGCAGTGCCATCATCAGGTTGGGAGGAGCAAACTTTGCATTCTTTATTATTCCTTTCCACTCTGGTCGTGAATTTGTTTTGTTTCAAATAAAAAAGAAAAAAAAAAAAACACAACCAAAAAAAACCCCACAAAAAAAGTTCAAAAAGACAAACATCGTGGCACTCAGTAATTATTTATTGCATTTGCCTGTTTATCTGAAACTGCTGCCCAGATGTGCTTCCCACAGCTGCAGATGCTGGCACTGACCAGTCATGTGCAGATTAAAGGGGCTTGTTTACTACTTTTTTTTTTTATTTGTTTCCTTTTTTTTTTTTTCCTGTGAGTGAAACAGACAATTCAAAGTTAAATAAATGTCTCTCTGAGACGATGGTCATCTACCACTTCATTCTTCCCTGCTTTAGATTTCAGGCATTGAACTCCCATTCCCTGCAGTGCCTCCTGCTGACTGTTTGGGAGGGTGAGGTGGGGGACAAGGACAGCCTTTCTGTGATCTTCTAGCCAGTTCTTTGCAGTATATACAGAAGGCAGGAGTGATTGGAAGCTGTGCTTTACAACTGACTGCTGTTTTTTCCTGGAAGGCAGTTTTCTTCATGTGGAGTGGATAGTTCTGTTTTTTTTCCACACAAACCCCTGACCCCCCACCGCTGACTTCAGAGCAACTGGAGCTTGTTCTTTGTGAGTGTCTGGAAGAAGGAGATCATTAAATTAGGGGTATATTTGAGTCTAGCTGTTGTCTTTGTGTCATGGTCACATTGAGAATAGGGAGGGAAGTACTGTTAGGATAAATGATTTTGGTTTTATTCCTTTTGGTGTCTTCTTTAAGAGTTGTCATGAAGAAATGCAGTTCATCTGGTGAGGAGGAAGCTGTGGGTGCCACGGTGCCGTGTAATGAGCCGACAGTGAAGCCAGGCTCTACTGAAGGAGAAGTGGATGTGCCCCTACCTCAAGCAAACACATTCCCAAAGGACTTGGACCACAGGGATGTGGCCATGTCTTTAAACAGCTGCACAGACAAGCAAGACTCGATTAGAGAATCTCATGCCAGCTTGGAGGAGAGGTGGCCTTCCTCAGAGCCTGAGTCTACCCCATTTGTCCCTTTTTTTGGAGATGGACAGCGTCTGGGGGACTCTTCTGTAGCTGCATCATCTCTTGGGTTAGATATGCCGTCTTCAAAGCTGCCAACAACTTTTTCCAGCCCTGGAGGCCCTTCTAAGCCAAAGAAGTCTAAGAACAGCCAAGAACTGCAAAAGGACCAAGAACAGGTAAGGGAAAATTTGTTTGCAACGAGGGCTATTTTTATCCTGCCTTGCCCGAGGCTGAGCTCCTACAAGGAAAAAGATGTTTCTGTATTTAAGACTTTCTCCCCATAATACAGGGTTAGGTGCCTTGGTGACATACAGTTCTGCCAGGAGTTCAGTAAGGAAGTATTGCGTTTTGGACAATTTACTACAGGACATATGAAGGGTGGGAATTTAAGAATTTACTGTCCAGAGGCAAGCAAAGCTTTGAACCGTGACGTGTCCTTGATGAATGGTTCTAATGGAGGCAACACATTAAAATCACAGTCCAGAAGAGCCTCAGATTTCATGCAAATTTGTTTTACAAATGCTCACTTTGTTGCCTGAGCCCTGGGTACTTGTCCTTCTCTTAAAAAAATGCTATCTGCTATGTAGTTTTACTAAAGATGAGCAGAGTTTGGTCAGACTTGTGTTTTATAATACTCTGGAGGTGCTTACTGCCTGTTGTGACTGACTTATCTCCCAGATCACGCAGAAGGTGTAAGCTTGGTAGAGTTTTACATATGGAAAGGGATAACTTTTCTAGCTTGTCGTAGGATTGTCCCAGGAGCAGAAGCGGTCTTAATAGGTTTGTTGCAACTTGATCCCATGACTTGCAAGATCTGAGAAGATGGTCAGAGTTTCTAACTCTTAGATTGCAAGGTGTGCTCAGATTTCTTGTCTGAGTCTTTCTCTGGAACGTGGAACTCCATAGTAAAGCTATTGTAAAAGCAGTGTCTCATGCTGGTAGTTGTTAACATCTGCTTCCTCAGAGTTCCTTCTGCCTGTGGTCATTCTGATTTACAGTTTTACTCTTTCAGTGACACGTGTGGTAGAACGTAAGGGGTATTTATCTGGAAAAGCAAATTTTCAGCTACAGTTGCATCTTGCTTGCCGAGAGTTTGATATTTGGAAAAAAAAAAAAAAAAAAAAAAAAGGACAGGTCTGGACCTCTTCTCTTCCTTTTATTCTAGTCCCATCCCTTCTGTGAGTCTTAATTTTCTTAGTATTGCAGATGAAGCAGAAACCTTTCATCCTTTTCCTTCTCTGTTTCTGCTTGCATATAAAAATCTTCTCTTTCTTGCTCTAAAATATCTTGCTTCTTAAATAAAGTCTGCCTCTCTCTAACCCTTTTCCCAGAAAGACAAATTGCACATCTATCATCATTGTTGACATCTCTGAAGTAAAACTGTAGTGTAGGAGCTCTCCAGGTAGCGATACCAGAACTGATGGCTCAAGGGTGCTGTGATACCATCACAGGATGGCCTCTGAATAATGTTAAGTATGCTTTCTGTAGGGCAGCTGTATGGAATTGAATGCCTTCAGCAAGCTTGGTTACACAACCCGCATAAAATGAAGTACAAGAGGCACTAAATTCATAACTTACTCCACATTATTGTGCATTGGGCTTTCCACATCTTGGATGCTCTGTGACTGGCACTTTCCCTCTCCCTTTCACTACACGCATCATGACTAGGGCTGGTTTTAGTGTTCAGAGATCCCCTTGGTTGTTTCCCGCTCTTTAGTACCTCCTAGAGTTGGTTTTGTGCTTATCTCTGGTTCTAATCCAGCCACTGGATTAAACAATGGAAAGCCATAAGCAGAAAGAAAGGGTGCATGATGAGGTTCAAAGGGTGCTCCATCCAGGAGGAATTTAGCAAGACTATGTATGTGGATGCTCTCACGGGTGATGTAGAGATTCTACCTTGCTTGACTTCTTTGTGGTTGCAGTCCATTCTTGATGAGTTTCTGAATTGTTTAGGAGCAGAAGCCAGGCCCTGGAAGGACTCTGGAGCAGTTGGAAATGTAGCAGAAAGAGGCCTTGCCAACCCAGTGGTGAATATTTCAGTATATTAGAAACATGTTTGGGTCCATCTAATCAGTGTTACTTAACCTCTTGGAACAGGCCCTGAGCACGGAGAACTGAACAGTAGGCTGGGTGATTTGTCCAGTCCCATGTGTTGCTTGCTTCAGTCACACTCTCACCTGCGAGGGGTTTGGAAAGGAGGAGTTTCGGTTGTGTCTGAAGAGGAAGGAAGGAAGACGTGCAAGGGTTTGCGGCGGTTTTCTTCACCAATCCTGTTGTCTGCACATTTGCATATGCTGGCTGGAGTGACAGAACTCATTTTATCATTTACTGGCTACAGCTTAATGTGAAGTTGTGCTGCTGGGCACAGAGCTGAGCAGCGGTGGCCTGAGGACTCTCACGATCCGGCATCTTTCTCAGAATCGCAGTCCAGTTCAAACCACTCGGCGGCACTTCTGGAGCCAGCCTCCCTCCCAGTTTCAGAGCAGCTTTGGAAGCAGCTGCAGATTCTGTTGGGGGGGTTCTGGCCTTGTGTTAAACAGCATGTGATTTTGACTGCTGCTTTCAAGCCCTTTGATCTCTGGTGCTTTTGCTGCTGATTGATTACATTTTGTTCCCTCCTCCACTCCTGCCATCCTCCGCTCTCCTTGCTCTCAGCAGCAGCAGCAGAGCAGGGCTAGCCACATGGCATCTGCTTTTTGTCCCTTTTCAGTCCTGAGGAAAAAACCCAAAACAAAACAAATTATTTTTAAACATCAAAGGTCCATTTTTGTAAAAGAATCTTCCCATTAATGCTTTGTCTGTGTGTGGTTTTTGAAGCTAAAGAGAGAGGCTGGATAAAATCTGTGCCGGCGTCCCTCCGTTTCTTGGGCTAAAGATGGTTTACAGACAGCTGCATGCTGACTTTGATGTCAGAACATTAATTATTAGAAGGTAACTTTACACCAGATTCCCCATGAGATTAGAGCTCCCTGAGGTGGTAGGGAGGAGGTGGGTCTCCAGGGAGAGCTCGCTGCTGTGGAAAGCACAATAGCTACTACTTCACTTACAATTAAATAAGTTTTCCTCAGCTTACATGCTTACTTAGGTCCAGGGATGGTGACCATTCAGTGAACCACATTCTTCCCAACACCTGGCTTTATCCCGTAGACTGCAGTTACGTCGACTGCCTGGTATACAGAGTAGATGTGAATAGATGGCTTCAGCCTGCTGTTGAAAAGCGTCTAACATCTCAACTTTGGTAGCAGAAATAGAGAGTTTGAAGAATGAACGTGACAAACCTTAATGCAGCATCTTTGGCTCCTGAAAGGTATTGTCAGTGGAAACACGAGAGCAAAATGCACAGCTTGCTTTCCTCCAGAATTACGTAATGGAAGGTAGAAACTGCCATTTATTGTTACAGGAGATGGTTACCTTTTGTCATGGTTGCAGAAAACAGTAGGTGTGTAGTGGACTGGGAAGCGAGTTGATATGTCTGGTAGCCTCCTTTTTGTAAATCGCTGTGGGAAGGTAGTTTTCAGATTCTGTTTGCCCTTTAGGATTGTTGGTAACATGTTAAAATAAGGTTGTATTGAGCGTACTCGTATTGGAATTGGAGTACTTAAGTGAGCAAATGGTGATGGATGAAGAAAGAGGAATGGGATGATGACTGGACTCTGGGGAAAGAGAATTGGTAGAGCAACAGGACTGGATACCTCTTTCTGAAGAGTGTTTCTTATGTCTGTAAGAAGGCGAGATGTATGGTTGATTCCAGGGTGTGTTAAATACATGGCAGAAGAGATATTATGATATTATTATGATGTGGCAGTCTTTGCATCCTCAGCGGCAAAATGATGATGTCTTTTGGTTGCTAAGCAGTGCTTAGTATGTGCTGTCCTTCTCGGATCAGGCCCTGTTGTGCAATTCTGGAATCGAGTCGCAGGAACTCTGAATCAAACCACCTGAATTATGTTTCGCAAAAACTTACTCATTACAGCTGTCTCCAGAGCTCTCCACTCTGTTATTGGGGGTTGGCTGGAAATGTAATGTTAGGGAATTCTTATTCTAATTGTGTATTTTTGCAGTCTTGTTAAGACATGCACAGATCTGCTCCTTCTTCTGTACAGAAAAGTATGTTTCTCCATGTGAAGTGGTACCTAAATAACGTGCCTTGGTTTGGAAGTTAAGGTATTCAGCATTGGTTGGGGAAACAGATAAAGTTATAGACTTGGGAGCTCAAAGGTAGCTGTGTGTCCGTGTGAGGCCAGTAAGGGTATCCTGCAGAGAAGTAAATGGGGACATCTTGTCTGGATGCAAGTTGGAGGTCCAGAATAGGGCACTTATGTCTGGGACGTGGTGGGTTTTGTATCACAGCTCGTAGGTGGTTCTGGCAGGCTGGGGAATGGCTATAGAAGGGAAGCTCCTGGCTGCCCATTTACAGTACCTTCTTGGCAATGGAGACCCGTTTGTTTGAATGAAGATGTCTGGAAAGCAACACTTGAACAACAGTTCAGATACCCAGTCTGGAGCAGTGAACACACAGTGAAGAAGAGGGGTGAACACTTAGGGCTGAGATATATGTCTGCCTTCCGCTGTCTTGTGACTTCTCGTGTCTTGGCTGAAGTCTTTAGCTACTACCGTGGTTTGGGCAGTGACTGATGCTTTCCCTGTGTTCCTGCTGCTGTTAGGATTAGCTAAAGTGCTTGCTAGAGACAGTACTAAATGCTAAGTTTAGTATTTGCTAATGCAGACATTGGAATTCTCTCCATCGTGTCCCAGCACCCTTCACAACATGCTATAAGATACGCCTGCTCAGTCTTTAGTTTTTTGGTCCTTTTTGGAAGGAGAAGTCTATTGTGAGTGTGTGTGTGTTTAGAATGAAATGAAACTTAAGCCTGATTGAGGAGACTGAAACATACCTGATTGCTGGGGAGGCCTGATTAATTCTCCTCCGGCCTCTGACATGGAGGTGATTGTACCAGACCAGCTGCTGGCAGCAGTTTGAGCCCTTGTGCAACAGGCCCCTTCCCAGAGGGTGGCTCTGCATGCTCAGCATCACTCCCGCAGCGCCGGGCATTCTTCCCCCGAGCCCCGGGAAAGCTGCAATCAGTCTCCTTCACCCACTAGTTAGAGCTGACCCTGCTCAACTTTCTAAAAGTAGCCGAGGGTCCCACCCACACAACCTCGCTCTTCTAATTTCTCAAATTACCCTTTAGTGCCCACAAGCAGAGCGAACATTGCCTTGTAATTTGTGTTGTCGCTTTTGACAATTGAGGGAGACTCCTTCTGTTCCCAAGGGGCCTGCGTCTGGGGGAAGGGAGCAGGGATGGAACAGATGGAGTGAGGACATTTGGGTATTAATTAGGATTGGAAAGACTATATGAGGGAATAAGGGGAGAAGAAATGGGCGTCAGGTTTGTTCATAGAGCTGTGTTAGGCTGGCAGCTGACTCTAAAGAAATGCTGTATTAATGATCAAAGTTTTTGTTCTCATGGACTGCTCCCCCCTGCATCTCCCGTAGCCTGCGGTACACTACTCTGTTTGCTTTCAAGCCTTGTGCATTTAAACATTCCTACAATTTAAAAAGTTTGAATTGTTCAAGAGCCAATAGGTATAACTGCTGCTTGTGTATTTATTTGACTCCAGTAGTGGTTTGTGTTCACATACTGACACAGCTGCTGCCTTTGATGCAAGGGATAGTAGCCAGTATCTAACCTTTTCTAAATTGGGAGGGATACATAATGCTGTTCTCCCTTCAGAGACAGCGAATGCTGTCTGTCTAATGGGCAGGATGGTGTTGGGGGTTTGGTTTGGGTTGGGTTTTTGGGGGGTTCTGGGTTTTGGTGTTGTTTTTTGTTTGTTGATTTGTTTTTAATAACTTGCAGCCACAGCTATAGAGCAGGACACAATTGTGCTGAAAGGTTTGCCGTCGTATCCAGCTCCCGGCACTGGGCTCGGGGGGCAGGGGGAGCAGAGCGGCGGGGCTGCCTGTGCCCCGCTGCGCAGGTGAGAGGGGCGTCTTGGCTGTTCGAGGTCTGTGTGCTGCTTGAATGGCCTCTCCTCAGCAGCGGAGGCATAGGGAAAGTTGCCAATAAATGTATTGAGTACCTTTATTGCAGCCAATGCACACAGTGAGCTGCTCCTCTCACATCTGTCTGCTTTGCCTGCAACAAAGGCTGATTTCAGTGCTAAGTACCTTCTAAGTGCAAAACGGAAGGGTTTTCTCTGTCTAAGGGAGCTTTCTGCACACCAGAAGCCAGGTTAAAAATTTGAGACGTGTACAATGAAACCCGGCAGTGGCTCAATTCAGAGAACCTGAAAGGAGTTTGTAGAGAGATGGGTGGGCGCTGGTCTCTTCTCACAAGTGACAACTGACAGGACAAGAAGAAATGGTGTAATGTTGTGCCGGGGGAGGTTTAGGTTAGACATTAGGATAAACTTGTGCACTGGAAGAGGCTGCCCAGGGGAGTGGTTGAATCGCCATCCTTGGATGCATTTAAAAGCCGTCTATATACGGTGCTCAGGGACATGGTTTAGAAGTGGGCCCGGTAGAGTTAGATTAGAGTTGGACTTGATGATCTTAAAGGTCTTTTCCAGCCGTAATGATTCTATGAACTCAACAGGTGAAAAACCACCTTACACCAAAACAAAGGGTTGCTCTCTAGAGTAAGAAGAAATGGGGTGAGCCCTGTTTGGGAACTAGTGCCGTTGTTTCTGTGGCGAGAGACTGTGAAACGAAGGGAACAGAAGCTAGGGTGTGAGCCAGGAGTGCATGTCAGATGAAAAACTTAAAAGGGCAGTTTATAGTCTGCAGTACGAAGAATAGCACCTGTGCAAGTGGCATGCTGCCTGCAGAATGGTAAGGAAGTGATTACGTACAGAGAGAGTTTTGGAGTACAGCAGAGAGGGGTAGGTTATGGTTTTGGGATAGGAGTAATTTCTGAGTACTTGTAACAAGCTCGTAACTGGCTGAAAGTGTGGTTCAGCTGCAAAATGTCATTGTATTGTAAGTGAAGAGATTCCACAGGCGCTTCCTGGAAAGGAGTCACCTCTCCTTACATTAGATGACTGCTGAGATTATTACACTGACCTTCCTGTGCTGAGAGTGGAGAGCAGCTAACTGCTGAGGTGTGACTCGTCTGACAGTATGGATTCCTACTGCTTGTTGTGAGGAATTGTGCCCCAAGCTCTATCAATATGAAAAAATGACAACACTGACAACCTCTGTATTGTTAGTCTGAACTTGGTGACATGAATTCCACAGTAGCGATTGTATTTCAGTTTGCAAATAGGATCCTTTTACTTTTTTCAGGAACCTTATAGCATAAGCAAAGCAATGCAATTAAGACTAATCAAAGCTTATTTTTATTCTGTAGCTTGTAGAACGAGAGCCACTTGTATGTCACCTAGACCTACTAGAACCACTTCCTGCTGGCCCAGAAGAGCTTCCTGATGAGTTTTTTGAAGTCACAGTGGATGATGTACGGAAACGTTTGGCACAGCTGCAGAGCGAGAGGCAAGTTCTCTTTCTGGGGGCTACTGAGATTGCTCTATATCCTTTTGTTGAGCAGAGTGACACTCTGCACCTACAGCTGGCTGTGATCTCTGGGTGGAGGGTTGTAGATAAGTTACTGGGTGTGTAGTTAAAGAATTAATGATCAGCACTGGAAGTCTCTACCCTTTATGCCATTTGAGTTCAAGGGCTATGTCATGTCTCTGTGACGGAACCTATGTTTTTGTGTGAATCGGTTGAGCATTTGTGCATGGGGTGATTTCACGAGGGTGTTGAAAATTTCATCATGAAGTGTCTGTGATGCCTGTGTGGTGATAAGTTTATCAGAGAACCTCAAGCTAATCAGGGGTGGGCCCTTGCTGAGACGGGATTAAGAGAAAGATTCCTTCCCATATTCTGCATTTTAGGGAGTTAGTCAAAACCACTTAACACCCCACCTCTTTTTCTTTCTTTCCTTATCCCTTCTTCTGAAGGAGAAGCTGCTGCCTTTGTAATTAAATGTGCGTTTACTTGCTAGAGGCCCAAAGCAGTGGTGAGCTCCTGCTATCTGTTCTGATCTGACTTGACATTAACTATTAGGAATTAAATGATGGAATTTGTAACTTGTGATGGAAAAATATATGAACCCAATGATCCAGCTTCAGCAGTAGCTAGTAATGTTTTCAGCCAGTAAGAAACACCTTGTATTTTAAGTAATCGAATTAACCGTTTATTAGACCTTATCAGAAAAGACTGGCTTTGAGACATTACCTAAATGGAAATAAAGCAAAATCAAACTTAGCCACAGATCAAGACATGAGAATATTTGAAACACACTCAGAGAGGGGGAAGAAGCATAGGAAGCTTGGCTAACTATGCATCTTATTGTTCAAGTAGCTTGCTTTCAAATATTCATTTTACTGTACTTTTATTCCAGTTCTGAACTAAAAACTCAGATTAAGATAAAGTAGCCTCTCTATCACAACAGCATTTTGTTGTCTATATGTTCCTTGAAGAAATTAATTTCATGAATGTGTGCAGTTTCAATTGGATCGTAACGTTCCTTTAAACATAACAAGCATTCTCTGAGACCGTGGGACAGCTTACTTTACAGTGTAACCAGGTCTGAGCTGAACTTTTTACTTAGAGCTGACTTTTTCCCCACAGGCCACTGAAATCCACATGAGTACACAGATTGGCCTGAAAATTGCTCTGCCACTTGTGGGTCTGGAGTATTTAGTGGTACAAATGTAGGATCATTTGGTCGGGGGTTACTGGAATACAGCCCCCTCAAAAAAATACCCAATTCCTAAATTTGCTGGTGCTTGTAATTGCTTTTTCCCTCACAGCCAAGGATAAAAATAAAGGCAAGTTAAGCATGAAACTGATACCCATTGGCTTCTGATCACAGCTGGGGAGTCTTAACAAAAACTAGCTGCATACAGTGCAATATTCTAAATGCAGTTAGAATTGAATTCTGACTTCATGAAGAGCTGAGAATTGGTATGAATCAGCAATTGGTACACAAAGAAGGCATGGAGCAGGTTAGTTTCACGTTTGCTTTTCAGACTGTGAGTTGGTGCTTTCAGAGCATCTTGGAATGTTGTGTACCAGCTGACAGTTCTGGGTACAGTTGGTGAAGTAAGCCTGTCCTTGTTTTATTCAGCAGCTGTTCCTGAGACACATTGATGATTCTTAAAAATAAAAAGAGGTCCTTCAAGCTGTATAGGTGTAAGAGATTAACTTGCAAATAGTTGTGCGGAATTATATGATCAAATGTTTCACGAAAATCTGACTTAGTAAATCAGTTGTTCAGAGTCAAGTGCAAACAAGGAAAAGGGACTAAAGCTGAACGTGGGATCTGTTTGATCTAAGCGTATTTATTCTTACAGGAAAATATGTAATTGTTTTATTGAATTTATTGTTTCAACTTAAATACAGGTAGATTTTTTTGCACCCACTAGTCCTTCTAGAACACCAGTCTACAGTTCTTGAATGATCTGAAACTTACAATTTTTGTTTTGTTTCCCTGTTGCTAATTAATACCCATTAATTTCTTGTGCCAGCATTGTTTCTCAGTTTCAGCAGCTTTTATTCCTCCCTGGAGTAATCATGTCCAACTTTAGTCTCTGTTCTAGTGGATTAACAAGTCCATCTCTTCTTGAGTCATCTAAGCAAACATTCCCCTGCCCTTCTTAGTATCTTTTCTGGCATCTGCTGTAGTGAACTTATTAATTTTATACAGTATTGTTGCTGATGCTTCGTAGTTCCATATATGAGATTTTGGGGTAGGAACCACAGGAGGTGGGGAAAATGCTGTGAGGGATACATAGAACAGTTGAGCAACTCTCAGCAGCCCTGAGAGCTGATATACTTTCTTAATAAAAATACATCTTAAAATTACAAAAGTGACATCTTGTCGTCTTCCCATGTATCTAGGAAACGCCTGGAAGAAGCTCCACTGATGACAAAATCTTTGAGGGAGGCTCAGCTGAAGGAAAAGTTAGAGCGTTACCCAAAGGTAGCCTTTGTTCTTTTTTCCAATCCCTCTGGCTAGTCCAGACTTTGTGAATCAATTGTGATCAACAAGATCTTGAGCTACTTCTAGGAATACTTCTCAAATTCCTGTCCCTGTTAATTGTTTGTGGGACTTGCATTACAGTTTTACTGTGTAAAATCAGCTGGCCTGTAACGATATGGTTGAATGGCAGACAATATAGCTCCTTTTATTTTGTTCCAGATGTTTCGAACCCCTTATATAGTGCACACATCAGTCTGTATGACTGAGCTTTTCTGTCTGCCTCTCCTCTGTAGAGTCTTACATTTTGATAGTATCTTGTTACAAGCTAAATGATGAGATGTTACAGATTGGAGATATCTTACTCTGTAAACACAATCCTAATGCAGTTTTTTACTTTGGTGATTTATTGCAAAAAATAAGAGATTAAGTTCTCAACTCAAGTGCTTTCTGACCAATGCTGGAAATAGAATGGTACGAATCACTTAGACCTATGGTGGGAGGATTCCCGCTGCTATGGATGCTTCAAGGTACTGATACACTGTACCCGTCCGTGGGTGCCTTTCTGCTTTGTTTGTGCATCACTTAGCACAGGGAGCTCCTACTCTGAATAAGGGCAGCTGCGTTGTACATGATACTGTTTCTATAGATCAGGTCTCTTACAGCCTTTGAAAGCCAGACAGTCTATGTTCTCTGAGGAGCTGCACAGTAATAGTTAGCCAGTATGCTATTCTACACCTGTAGAATCTTCAATCTCCCCATTTAAAAAAACCCAACTTGCTCACAAATTCTAAGCCAAGGACAGGTTTATAAAACAGCTATAAACAATTGACCTAATGTGCTTTGCCTCTGACAGGTGGTGTTGAGAGTCCGTTTTCCAGACCGTCATGTTCTACAGGGCTTCTTCCATCCTAGTGAAACTGGTAAGAGCGGTCTCCACTTCAGTCTGTGTAGCTGCAGCTAACCTCTCTCATCAATGATTAGTTGCATGACAAAAGAGAGTGGCTCTGGACAGATCTTTCTGCTGTCCAGGGAAGTCATGCTGCTCTGAAAAAGCAGCGGTAGCTAGTTACACCGTTCTTATAGGGCCCCTGAACTGGATGAGAAAAGGGTCTGGGAACTGAGTAAAGGGGAAATTATTTATGGGACTACTTGACGGGGACTGTCAGGCTAATTGACGGCAAAAGATTTTTGCTCCGGAAATTGTCCCACTTGATGTCCCGTTATTTGTGTCCAAATGATATGTTACTGAGATGAGTTTGGATACTTCTTCTGCGTTAAAGCTTTAAAAGTTTTGGAGAAAAACCAACAACACCCACACCCACCCCCCCCCCCCCCCCCCCCCAGGTCCCCACCAAAACCAAAAAACCAGGAAAAAGAAAAAGAAGCTGTAATAAGAATAACAGGGGATGAACCTTTCTGGCTCCATCAGTTCACAGAAGGCAGTCAGACCATAAACCGAGTAGCTCTTACTGTTGTTAATTGAGGTCCTTTTATTCTCAGCTGGCAGCGAGGGTTACCCACACAATTTTATTGATACTTTTCTATGGAACAAGAACTAATAACTAGTTACCAGAGTCTCACCTGGCTGGTCTCTGCAAATCTTGTAGCTGCTCTAGGATTTCCTAGGAAGAACTTCACTGGCATTGTTAGATTTTGCTAAGGGACCAGCATGTCTAAATGTTTCTGGTTTTTGGGGGTTTTTTCCCTCTTTTCTCCAAGATACTAATAATAGTAACTGTTCTTTTGAGAAAAAGTCAATCTACAGACATTGTTGAGGGCAGTTCTGCTGGTAGAGGTTAGCCTTTTTGCCCAGCGTCTGAAGAAACAAATGTCATTCAGCAGACCTTTCTCTCCTTTTTTCACAGTTGGCATTTTGAGAGAATTTGTAAGAAGCCACCTTGCAGATGCAGACCTGCCATTTTACCTGTGTGAGTGTGCTGTTGGTAATACTTGGCCTTACTTTACAAAGCCTGTTCCTAGCTGTGGTGCATATGGGATGTTGTGATGCCATGAGGTATGACCTGGGGAGGAATTCCTTCCCTAAGTACGGCCTCAGAGTGCAAAGGTGGTGTAACCTGCTCGCTTGGCCACATTATGCTTCTGTCTAATAAGAAGCCTATGTGGGCACTGTGAATGTGTCACTCCTTTAAAGATCAGTAATCCCTCCCATAGCTGCTGTATTTATTGTTTTGGTTGCTGGATGGTCCTGTTTTGTAACTTGTTTTTTAACTTCAGTTATTGCACCTCCCAGAATCATCTTGAACGACGAAAGTTTGACACTCTTTGAGGTAAGGATTCACGTGTGTGCTCTGTGATTCTCTCTGACTTGCTGCTCCCCTCCACCCTGCCATATGCTTTAGTTACTTTTAGAAGAAGCTGTATAATGCTGTGATCCCTGTAGGCTTCTGCTTAGCCAAGACTAATGGAACCAGGTGTTTCGGAGCACAAGCTCTTCACCAGAAGAGGTCCACCTTGTGCAGCAATAGGCACTGGCATATTGTTGCAGGCTTGCGGGGGTCGCATTGTTGCATACATACATACGCTCAGTGCCTTACGGAGTCTGAACTGTACTTAACCTCAAAACGTTATTGCAAGAGCTGAGCTAATGCAAGTTAGCTGTATCTGTAGTTGGACTTGTGTCATAGGAGACGTGATGCTGGATTTGGATGAGTAACTGTGTTAAATGTCAACAGCAGGAGCCAGAGGCCAATGTGGACAAAAATCTAACCTCTTTGATAATCACTATGTGAGAATTTATTTTAAGCCAGCTTGTACATTGAAGAATATGTACTCTATGTGTGTAAATTTTCTCAAAGGCTGAAATTTAGTTTTTTCAAATCCAGATTCCTGGAGGTTTTTTGCAAATACCAGATAAGGTGGTCTTGAAGTCTCTGGCTAGAGACTCTTGGCTGTGTAAATCACACATCACTGATCGAGTGATTTTGCCAGTGACTTAGCCCCAAACTCACCATGTTTAAAATGTGCTGTCAATCAGGGAGAGGGATAGAGAAAGGCACCTTTCAGGCCGCCTGGTGAATTAGGTAGGGATTAGCATGCCTCTGAAGTTGTTTGTAATGGAGCTTTCCAAATTCCACAGCTTCCTGACCAGGCCTTGTGGTAAAAGTACACGTGCTGCTGCTTTTAGACCATTGAATGTTCAGGGAAGCAAAGTGTGGATCTCTGTGTTCGCAGTGGGAGGTCTCTTCCCTTCCTAATATCCCATTATTTAGTTAATAATGAAGGTACCAGTGGAAAGCTCTTTGTGTCTTTCAGCCAGGAGATTTTGCCATTTGGGCTGGAAGGCAGCGCTCCCAGCTTCCTCTGACTTGTGCCACCTCTCCCACGTCTGCCACCCCAAACACTGACTCAAGGCACTCGTGGTGGGGAAGGCAGAGGACAAATCTTCCCTTCAGGTTTCTGAGAAATCCCATGAAGGGGAAACTGGCTATGGTTGCATTGCCAATGATACATTTGGAAAATGTTCAGAGGAACAGCAGCTAATAAAGAATGTTCAGCGCTCGTTCGCAGTTGTGAGGCAGGGGAAGCAGCCGTGGAGCTGCGACTGGCACAGACTGGTCTGACATGGCACATCCACACTACTCTGCCTTTCTCCGTCTCTTCCTCCCCTTTCTTTTTTTTGGTCTTTAGCTGTCGTGTCTGAGCACATCCCTCACCTAGAGTTCCTTTACACACATTTTCTAACATGCTTTTTGGAAAGCTTTTTTCATCCTTCCAAAGCATGGTCTCTCTGCAGCTCTCGCCAACAGAGGCCTCCTGCATAAAATGGGTGTTTTTCTGTCTTTTTCTAAGATTTGGCTGGGATGTGTTCCCAGATTTCCTGTCTCAGCCTTCAGACTTGTGTCCCTACAAAATATACTTCTTTCTTTTCAGTGTCTTTGTAGGAAATTATATTCTCCCCCATGCTGTATGCCACATTTTCCTCTAGAATCTCATAGGCTTCATTTTGGCACTATTTTTCTTTAAGATGGGCTTTTTTTTGGTTTTGTGAAGTACGTCCTAGATGGTGAAGACTCAAAATCTGCCTCTGTAATGAACCTTTTTCCTATTCTCAGTTCACTTTCTATTGGATGTTTTGTTGCCCCTTCAAATTCGAGGTATTTGAATACCTTTCTGATGCCGCATTCTTCCATTGTTTTCTGTCACTGTTGGAAAAATACCCTGTCTGCTCACATGCCTGTCCTTACCACCTTGCAATCTCCTGTGAGCGTTCTCTTCCTCTTTCTTTGGTAGCTTCTAAATCCTTTGCATACCATACTCATTCCACAAAGAAAAGGGAGGTTTTTCCAGCTTCTCAGTAAACTTCAGTGCAGCACCCTCTTTGCTCCTATTCATCCAACCTCTGATGCTGTCTCCAGCCTCTGTTGTTAGCTTCTAAATAAAGTTCCGGATCCTCTGCTTACCTGTATTTACCCCTTTCCCACCTCCCCTCCCGCTCACCCCCCACCCCTCTGTTCTTTTATTTTCTCTTCTTCAGCACACACCTAATATTTCTCTGGATGTCTTCTGAAACATAGCTTGTTCAGTGAAACACCACCGGAGTAATTATGTCTCTCTATCTTTGAGTCAGAACTTTATGGTAGGAATTTTGTTTAATTTGCTGTGTTAAAGCCTTTGTTCCATACCTGGCACCATTACTTGTGCTTGATACATGTGTGGCGATTTCCCAGTTTCCTAGTTGTGATATTTACTGTGGAATTCATTCCTCACAGCAGCTCCCTGAAACATATAAAAATGTGTTCAATTAGTGCTCTGTAAAGACTTACGGCCCGGTCTTTTAGACTCCTTTGGAAATCACAACTTGGTGAAGAACCTGGTCATTTTTAGTGTCAAGCGTCTTTAACTTGTAGTGGCTTTCCTGAGATTGAAGTGCTTGCTGTGTCACATAGCAAAGGTGCAAAGCCTTGATGTTAGTACAAAACTCTGACTGTCCAAGATACGGTGCTCAAAAGCTGAGAATTCTCCTGCAAATCGACTGTTTTAAGGAATGATTTTTCTCATTTCTCACTTCCTCTGTGTCCACACAAAAGAAGAATTGCATCCAATTAAGATAAGGGATGGCAAATTCAAAGTTGATTTAAGATTTTTTTTTTTTTTCGTGCAACTTGTAATCACAGTGTAGTCTAATTAAACTAATTAGAAAGTGCTTGTGTCAGGAATTTGGGCATAATTAAAGAAAAAAGGATTTTTTAGGCATAATCTAAGTACACAGAATCATTACAATTACTTGCAAAATGTGGAAAGCAAGTTAAATGTCATGCTTAAAATACTTTTGGGGATTGTAACACGACGTTATGAAGACATTATCATCACATTACTTAACAGTTACGTGACTTGGCATTTTCTTCTTAACCAGCTGGCTCGGTGTAGATGCATATGTGGGGAAAAATAATTTGGACTTAATATGCATCTCAGGGAGCTCTTGGGTTGATTGTTGCTGCTCCAGAGCAGCAGTCTTAAGGTGTTGAAATCATCAGCTCATTACTGAAGAGTAGTCAAAACTGAAACGACCTCCTTGCCGAAATCCAATGTATTCTGAATGAAATAGATAACAAAATAAAGAACATCACTGTGCCATTGTATGAAACCAGGGTTTGCTCACATCTTGAATAATGTGTGCAGATCTGATCTCTCATCTTCAAAAGGAACTGGTAAAGGTGCAGAAAAGGGGAATGAGTGTCATCAGAGGTCTGCATAGAGAAAGACTAAGTAGGCTACGACTTGTCAGCCTGCAAAAGACATCACTGGGAAAGAACAGATCAAGGAGAAGCTGGAAGGAGAAGCTCTCTCCAATACAAGAGTGAGTGGCATCAAGTGAGGCGAGCGGGAGCTAGAATAGATGGAAGAAGGTAGAAAACTGAAGTGTGGAATTCTTTGTCACAGGGCGTTATATACTAAAAGTATACACTTGCTCAAGAGAAGCTTGAACAAGTTCAAGGAAGATATCTACTGAGAGTCTCTCTTAATATATAGAAACCATCTCGGGAAGCTTCTAAACCGAAAATATTTGCTATCTAATAGTATTAGGGGAAAGTATCACGTAGAAGCAAAGAGCAAGGATACTGTTCTCTGTGCATCTGGTTTTTTATTCACCGTTAGAGACAGGGCGCTGGCTGGCTGGAGTGGACTTTTGGTCTGTGTACAGTTGTTCTTACGTCCTTGTGTACTGCTGGAGGTGGACTGACCAGGCTGCCCGGGCAACTTATCTGACCTGACAGCAATTCCTATATTGACTCAACTACCCTCTAAATTGAATGATAATGTACTAATACATGTGAAACAATACACTAAATTTCATGTATAGCAGAGGATTTAAACTGGCATATGTGACTTGTTTCTTTGAATATCCTGGAATAATTAAGTCTTTGTAACTGTACTGCCTGTTAAGTGTTCAAGTTTTTTTCTCAGCTTTATGATTTCATTAATAGAACTATTTTGTATATAATTCTTCCAATTTTAAGGAAAAAAAATGCAGACTGTATGAGCCTTAGAGTTATGGAGAAAACAGCTGATAATTTCAGTGGAATTTATTATATTTTCCTTTGCTATATGACATCCTGTGTAGCATTTCATGTTTGTGAAAAAAAGATGCAAAGTATTAGCAACTTTTACGAGATGGTGTGTTCTTCTGTACAGTACAAGTGATGATGTGACACGTACAGGTAATGGAAAATGAGTATGTGAAACAATAAGGGCATTGCAAATTCCTTCTAACCAGGTTTCCTGTAGAAGGGTTTTTTTGCACACAAATTTTTGTTTTTTCTCAAGATTTCTGCTGAAAACCCTACAGTGGATGTTTGTCATGTTAAAGAAACTTCAACTGAGCTGCTGAGTCAGCTGAAGAGACTGCTGCCCCAGTTATTCTCACATCTGTCCACTGGGCTGCTGTGTATTTCATTCTACATGAGTTGGATAAATACAAACAGTTTAAATAACGGACATTTGCAGGCTCTGGTCTCTTGACTGAAGCGGATTAGAGTCTCATAACATGCAAATCCAAATGGTTGTTAATATCTTGCAGTGGGTGGTAGTGACGGGCTGAAGGGGTATGGTTTTAGCTGGAAGGGGATGTGTGTCTGCAACGTCGTGAGAGTAAAGGTTTTGCTCACATCTTACTCACACAGTACAAGAGTTTGCTGATGCAGTTATGCCAATGGACCCAAGCAAAGTTTTTCTGCAGGAGACCTTGATAGAGTTCATGGTGAGTTTAAAGAACTCACGTCTGAGTTTTGTATTTTTTTCTCCTTCTGCAGTTGAGTATATGAACTTT